AGATGAAAGTCAAGACTAGATATGGAAAGTTTAGGGATAGGTTAACCATATACTAACTTCCGGTTACGAGATCGGAAGTCACGTGATTTTAATTTTAAAATTTTCCCCTGAACGGAGTTATATAGATGACCGGCAAGACTCTGTTGTTATCAGGAAAAGTATGATTTACAGGGGCAAGACACTACTAATTTGTGATCGAGAGCATATATTTTAATTTAAATAAATTAAGACTATGATTTTTACTCGTTATCATTTAAAAAGTGAGTTTTTAAATTTAAAAATGCGCAAAATATTCTTCCATGTTTATTCTAAAAAAATAAACTAAAGTATCGAAAGTTTCTAAAAAGTCATTCGCTACATTTTCCATTATCACGAGATCATTGCATCTTGTCAATACCGAAGAAATTCTTATTTTCTGTATACCGAAATAATAAAAAAAAAAAAATCTCGAAAAAATTTAATATAAATATATTTGTATACTAGTTTACAATATAAAGAAGGAAAAAAAATTCCTTTCACATAAAGTCAGGAATGTTGTAATGACACCAACATTTGTTAGAAAACTTCGCATAAACAGATGAGATCAGTAACGTAAAATATATATGTATATATATAAAAAGGAAGAAGAATATAATAATAATAAAGAGAAAAGTTCTATATATGGCAGCATGCTCGCAATCATTCACCACGGGTGCTATAATGATGTACACTATATCAGTTAGATGGCCATTCATCGCTACAGGAGGCATTTCTGAAGGGGTAGAATAACACAAAGATTTTTATCCTGTCAGTTTTTGTTAACGAGTCTACTTCCCTCCATTCTTACAGTCACAGCTGGCGACACGGAAGAAGCGATTTTACCTGTAACACACCAACAGTCATTTGCAGCTAAATGTGCATTAGATGATATTTCAATCAAGTAATATCTATACCAAGTACAGCCATGAATTTTTCTTTAAGCATGTCCCACTTTAAGTGCTACCCAGAAAAAAAAAGAAAGAAGAAAAGATGCCATTTATGTGCGGGGGATTTATATATATATATATTCTTCATGAAGTAATCTTTGGTTTTACAGAAACAAAAGTTAAGCTCATGTAATATGTATTGAATTACAAAAGATCGTAACTTCTCATAAATCTTTATATTGAATATCTTTAAATATTTATCTGCATACTTGCTTAATTAATTTGAATATTTGCTGGATGGATCTTTTTTTTTTTATTTTAAGATTTAATATCTCGCGATAAAATTCGATTTTGAAGTTTTTATTTTATTTTTGTAGCTATTGAGAAATGTCCAGTTGAGGAAGCACCTTGTTTACGAACTGATCCGTTCAGAATAGAAAAGTCACCCTCGGCGGATATTGGAATTTTATGAAGAGGAAAGTCCGATATTCCCTAGAGAGCACTTCTTGTCCTCTTTATCTTATCGGAAGGCCATACACGTCGCCTTTCCTGTACAAAGTGAATTAGTCTTATGATGCGATGGAAAAATTATAGACTTTTCAATCGAGCATCTGTGTTTGCGCATGAATAAAAACGGATCGAGTTTCCTCTTCTTCCTCCTCCTCCTTTTCTCCCTTTGTTTCCTTTTAAAATTGCGGTCAACTCGTAATTTTACAGACAAAGAAAAATGCTGTAACGTAATAGTCAAACGCCATTGCCGTAAAGGTAATATGCAAAGCACTGTCGTAAGATTTAGATGGAAGGAGAATGACGGCCTTGTTTTATATCGTGGACAGTACAAACATAGCAAGCTATGTCAATATACACAGGTCGACAAACATACTTTTTCTTCTTGGTGTCAGAAAGAGATCAGCAAGCATCACCAACTTCATATCAAAAAATTTCTTCTTCCGACCCTATCTCACTTTGCCGTAATGTACACACACCTGGATGGAATATATGCCCGCAGGTGTAGATTTTAAGTAAAACTTTCTCTTTGCAAATTTTCTATTTTTCTGATGGGATGTATTCTCATATCTGCATATTACTACTGTTATTATATTTCTTCCTTTCGTCTTAATATTGCGATATATATATATATGTATATTAGTAATAACCGATATATTAAAGATTATATATAGTCAGATATGCATAATTTATGTTATAAAATTACAAATTAAATTACATAATTTTAAATACACTCTTATAATTTGCAATTATATAGCGCACCTAACAAGGAGAACCTAAGAAATGGTCGTTTATATTAATGGTCGATCCTATTGATGAAATTAAACATATGGATTGAACATGGCTATAGTATAAGATACCAAGACTTGTTGTGGCCCGAAAATGTAACATATAACGGACCTTCTATCAAATGATGTAACGTGTAAGAATGGGAGGCCCCAGTGGCACGTTATGGGCAAAAAAAGGCAATTGCCTGGGCCCCCACCAACAGGGGACTCCAAAACAATCTTTTATAAAAAATACTTTCTCCCGAAGAAAAATGTCATCACTGTACTGTACATGGAGCCCGCTAATTCAAATTCGCCCGGGCCCCACGAAGCTACAATGCGTCATTGTCAGGCCTTAACCTATCCATAAAGCTGAAGCGTGTTTAGCCATCCATGTGTTGTTTTCTTCCCTTTTTAAGAGAAAAATAACAAATTCTGAACTGACTTCACGAATAATATTCTAAATATCCTTCTAGATACGTAACACATAATCTTATTATATACTTAGAGAGAAATTTATATTATTTTTGTAAAAGAAGTTGAATATTGGTTACAAAGTATTGTTTTATATCAGTAAACAATATTTACAACAAATAAAAACATTCAGTATTTTACTGTTCTAAAACGAATTTACTAACAAAGAAAATCGAGTTTATGAAACCTAATACTTTGTTCTATTATTGTTAATAGCAAATATTCTTGTAATACGATATCCATAGCAAAGGACTTCGATTCTAATAGCAACTTTCATTATTACCAGAAACAATTTTCTCTAAGAATCAAATTACACGTGATGAGTCGCTTGAGTAAAGTTTCAGAGATTGGTATCACAGTTTTGGAGTATATATATATATATATATTTATAAATATAACAAGATTTTCTAAATAAAATTGATTCTAAAATGAATATTTTCCTTTACTTAAATTTGGTCTTTAGCGAGTGAAATTCTTTATTATACAAGAGTCATTTCTGTAAATCTGAATTATGATAACGTAGAGGCAGTTTGAAAGATGTTAAATTTTCCATATCGTATGTGAACCTTTATATCATTTTAAAGATGCCATTACGGATAAATAATATAAGGTTTGCATGCGAATGTAAAATATATTATCGAAAGAAACTAATAAGAAAAAAAAATAGGCCACTGTTTGTAAATTTTTATACGTGTACTTTCATCGATTTAGGTGGAAGTACACGTATTATTTTTTTTTCTTCTTCGCACGCGTAAATTAATTCGCTTACCTGTTTTAAATTTGGTATTGATGCCGTATTGCAAGTTACTTTGTAAATATTATACCACGATGCGGTTCCTTAATGGAATGCGATTTTTTTATAATGGTATGGAAGGATCTTACTTGTGGAGTAAGGAAAAGAAAATTTCATAATGTTTGAAAAAATAAACTATTCCATAATACAACTCTAAGGCGTTTTCACGTTATTAATGGTCTGTGATTTTTCATAATGGCGTCAAAGAAGTTGCGCTTCTAGAACAGATTGCAAATATTTATTCTATAATAACCACTTCTATTATTAATTTTTTGTGATCTTTATAATGTCTCCTGTATAGGAAGATGAGTTTTCATTTAAAAAAATGGCGAAAACACCAGGGGAAAAATAGATTCTTCACCTATATAAAGCCGTTTTAGTATTATTATATCGATACAGAGTCAGCTATAAAGTCGACAGTATTTGTCACTGTAGTGGCACAGATAGAAAAGGGGCAGTTCAAACGAGAGGTTAACTCAAACGAGTGAACCGTGAACGACCGATCACTAGAGTTAATTACATAAAATGCATTTTTGAGTAAGATTCCGTTATGAACTCCGATCTTGTTTGTTCCACGACACCAGACACATATTTCATCAAGTGCCGCATGTTTATGACGTGATGACGTATGGAGTTATTTTGCTACCCATGCTGAAATTCGAACATATATATATATATAACACAAAGGCATTTTATTAATTAAATCCTATTTTAAAACTCGTCTATTATCGTTTTAAGTTAATTCATTCTGTAATGTGATACACCCTCCCTCCTCTTTTAGAGGTTTATGTAGGAGAGGTAAAATCATAAAAGGTAGGAGCAGATTTATAGGTGAGAGAGGGTTGGTACTCGAGAAAAGATTTATGCACGGTATATATCGACTAACGTGTCAGAACCCAAGACTCTACTTTATCTCGTAAAGCTTGGTGGAGTGTTGGAAACACTGTTATCCATAAGTGCTTCAGCTACGTAAGCAGAGAACGATGACATCTTTGGATCCGGAATTCGACTTAAAATACGACATTAGTTATAATGGGATGTAAGATGTAAGGGTTCTTATCGGTATTCGGTAGCCATAGCAATTTACTAGCTATTTGACCCAATTATATTTATCCTACGGTGTCAAAGGGGACTCGAGAGGTGAAACTGATAGGATATATCACCATTTAATAGCACCTCGGAGACGTACACAAATTTCAGTTGCATCAGCAGCAACTAAGAGCAAAGAAAGAGTCACCACATCAAGCAAAAGAAAAAAGAAAACAAACAAAAAGAAGTTGGAGTGGCTAGAACTAAGAATAATTGACGTAAGGGAAAACATATTATGCATTTCTTTAATGGAGTTTTACCACTGAATTCCTTAGAAAGCTTTTATTGTATTATTTTATTTTATTTTTTACCTTCTTATTTATAGATCCTTCTACTTTAATAGCCTTAAAAGAAATCAATTGTAATCTCTTTACTAGGTTTACGTAAGGGAAAACATATTATGCATTTCTTTAATGGAGTTTTACCACTGAATTCCTTAGAAAGCTTTTATTGTATTTATATATTTTATTTTTTACCTTCTTTTGATGGTGTAGTTTTTGGCCTGCTATTTAACCACTGATCAAGTTCCAATAATCGACGACTGGCCATCGAAGGTGTACCAGTTACCGAACATTTGATGGTTTTATAAGATGGCCTTAATGTCAATAATTTAGTGGAATTATGAGGCTGGAAGTTAAGTAAGTTTCTCTTTGATTTTCTGAAAGACTGAACATTAGATTGTGGTGCTGGAGGAAGATAAGGAAGAGATTCAGTGCTAATGGTTTGTTTCAAGCCTTGCATTGTATTAGAATTAGATGAAGCTGAGTCATTAGGGTTGAGCATATAAGAAGAATTACTTTTAGTTTCTTTTGAACTGGAAGAACAACTCTTATTTTCCATACGGCTAGATAAACCACTGCCTAATTTATGGGAACTTTTATGACTACGAATGGAAGAATTCAAGTTATTTACTCCAACTAGTGGTAACAGTCTGCAAGATTCACCAACAATCTCTTTGTCTTGGGAGTTCTCTGATTCACTTTTAATTCTGTTGGACATATTTACAGTTACTGTTTTATTTTCAGGATTTAGAGGAGGCAGTCGTAAATGCTTATCCAAACTGACATTTTCTGGAATTTTTTCGGATGTTGGTGATTTACTTTTTATTACAGGAGTAACTTGCGCCTTTCTTCTAGACTAAAAAAGAGGAAAAACAATATTGTCTAAAAGATATTTATTTTTAATTATTTTTTTATAAACCTGATTTACATTTGTTTAATTATAGTTTATGAGAAGTTATAAATCTTACGTAAGTTATATAATTGCATGTTTATTTATTTCTNTATATATATACCTACATTTTTTTTTCTAATTAAATAATTTAGTTTAAATTTAAACTTATGAAAATGTGCATCTATGCTGTCATCAGTTGGTTATCCTAGTTAATTCTTCGTCTAGAATTAAAGCAATAACTACACGCAAAATTCTTTCTTTCTATAGTATTAATATAGAATTAAGCTTGCTTCTAGAAGTAAATATGCTACAGAATATTCTGTATTGTTTTCTTATTCTTTTCGCTCCATGGTGACTAAAGATAGCCTTTTTCTGTGTTCTTAGTGGTTTTGACCAGGTCTACAATGGGGGTGACCTGCTAAGGAGGGACATATTACTCTCCCGGATCCTCCAAAACATTAAGGTGATGTATTAACAAGCCACGGCCATTTGCCCATCATATTCCATGGGTGGTTAATGCGTTATCCTACCCCTCTGGGGATCCAAGATCGAATCCGGGTGGGCAGCTTCCAGGAATTTTTCATGAGTTATCAGTCCTTGATACATTGGACTCCATATTCTACCATTGGGTGCATCATTGGTAAAATTGGTCGAATTTACAACGGGCACGTGGATTAGACCCAAATCGAGAGCATATATTTTAAATTATTGTAGTCCGGCATTGTGACGATGTTACGATAATTTTTTGCTGTCTTTCTGTTTATTTTGTTTATTATTTTATAATTATAGAATTAAAAATTTATTCATTTGTACAATGTTTTTTTAAGTGATTAAAGATGTTCGTCATTAATCAAGTTTGCAATTTAAATTAATAATACGAATGAATCAATTAATTAATTAAGTGATGGAGGTTTTAATAATTATGTACGAAAATAATCAATATTTTTATTGATTGATTTATTGAAAGTTTTCTTCAAAAACTGAACATGAATAGCATTGTATAGTTTATGAAAACCCATCATCAGATGTCAGATGAAACGGATCAACAGGAATTTATCCCGGATTTCGTTGGTTTTACACAAAAACTTTACATTCATCGGTACGATTTTTATTATTTTCAGGTAAAGATTAAAAGATTAATCCATAAAAGAATAAATTCTTTACGATTCCTTTTTAAATATCAGATTATTAGTTTTTAAAAAAAAATTAGTTTTTTTTTCAAAATAATTTAAGAAAAAATACATTCTATAAAACTGAAGTACAGTGATACCCCGAACTTACGCGATAGGTGGGACCGAGCGATAACCTCGTAAGTCGGGGTATAATTTCGCATTTAAATACATACAAATAATTTTTAATTGGGGCCGGAGACTAACGAAAACAATAATTTAGAAAAAATGTTTAATAAAATCTTAGATAATACATATGTATAACAAATTATTATTATACAATTTTTCACATTTACTTGATCATCACACAATAATTTTAACATTGTTTCCATCTCAGCGATAATACTGTGACGTTTACGAATGATGCTTGAATTTAAAGATTGAGCATTTTTCACAGCTTCGAGAATTTTTTCTTTGCCTTTT